CAAACATCAAAACGTTAAACATACGGTAACTGGGACACCAGAGCTATTTCTATAGCAACGGCAGACTACATTTATCAAAATAAATGCCAATATATTCATTTCACTGAATCCAAGTACATTTGTATGTGATAAAAAGTATCAAGATTCATTAACTTCGATATAGACATACTCAAGGAAATCATAATCAAAAGTAGAGTTATAATCGTTTATTTGACTATTCAGTGATTTAATCATAACACTTCATGTGACAATTGGAAAAATACTGAATTTTACTTCATTATTCTCCCAGTTTATGCTGTATATCTGTAATGTAAGTATGTCGCCTATCTGGTTGACATTAGTGGCAATTAGACCTGTTATCAGGTAGATAATTCATTGAGCTAAAATACCATTGACTTAAATACTGAAAAAAAATACTATCAGTTGTTTCATAATTCTACTTCTTTCAAGTCTAAAATCTGTAACTATGGATGCTAATGTAATGGTTTGTTTCAGACAGATAAAAACATATTAATAGGCATTATTTATTGAATATACGTTGTATGTTATCTAATCAACTTACATTCATTCAATTATTTTGTAATATCTTGAGTTTTATCTAAGAATGTTTCAGCAAGATACAAAATAAATGAATACATTTGAAGATTTTAAAAAGAAACAATCTTTATCTTTGTAATTTAGACACATTATTGCATTATACTATGATGATAAAAACTGACAATCTGACTCGAAAAAGGACAGATATTAATGTATAGTACACATTTGTCTATCCGTAATGAATTTGCCATTAAGTAGTATCGAATGTAAATGTATGCTAAGCCGAGAAATAGTTGGTCAGTTTTTATGATGGAAAAAGAAAATTATCTATCGAAAGATAAATAAGGAAAGTCCCATTTTAGTCTGTTTATTAGAAATATCACACAGTGATGGAACAGTAGCATTTACTGGATAACGTTTCGGACACAATTTATTGTCCATATTCATATCAGGTAACTCCACAACTTCAAGAAAGACTTTATACATTACTAATTTTCTCTCCTTCTCCGTGATGACAAGGGTAGTAGAATTTTCCATATATCTGGGATAGGTGCAGCATCATTTACATTCCATGTATTTGGTGTTGATTCGATAAACGCAGATTCGGTTATCAATCTCTCCCTCCCCTTACCCAACTAAGTTAGTTTTCAACACTGTCACGCTATCCTACCCTACTGAGTGATTGTGTGTCATCTCATGCACAGCTATAGCTGAGTTTTTCTCTAGATATCTTATCTTATTGGAATCTACTAATCTTGATTTAGCTAAGTATTTGTGCTCTGTTATTCTAATACACCCTAGTCTACTGTTTTGACCTATGTACTTGACCTGGCAATCATTGTAAGGGATCTGGTAAACCAGATTATTTTGCTTAGTTGCATCGATAGGATCTTTTAACCTACAAAGCTTGTTTCCAAGTGAGTTCGTTGGTTTCAATGCCAGCCACTTTAATCCCAGCTAGTCTTATTGCAAATTCTTCGTAGTGCTTCCGAGGTGCCTTCGTTGTATGGTAACACAGTAGAGGCTTTGAATTCTCTCTTAACCCCGTCCCAGATATATGGAAAATTCTACTACCCCTTGTCATCACAGAGAAGGAGAGAAAATTAGGAATATAAAAGGTCTGTCTCAAAGTTGTGGAGTTATTTGATATGAATATATACAAAAAATTGTGTCGGAAACGTTATCCAGTAAATGCTACTGTTCCGTTGCTGTGTGATATTTCTAATAAACAGACTAAAATGAAATTACAATGGACCACACTGCCCAAGTTCTACACATATTAAATAAGTAAAGTGGTTTGCTTTTTAATATACATTTCACGTGTGCTGTTTAAATCGGTTAAGTATTAATGCTACTTAGTCTTAGAAAAGTTTATGGAATATCTGCATTGTATGTTTGTGAAATAATCCCTGGTAGAGTTGTTGGTGCATGTTGCTGAGAAGTCGTACACTAAGATAAAACAGATGTTCAGTGTTTACAGGGTGTTCACTGGTTCTCCAACTGATGTCAATCTATGATGAATACTAACTTAAAAATAAAACCCACAGAAACTTTCAACCAAATTGCTTTATTCTCATGACATTTATTGTCATTATTATTATTATTGTTATTATTATTTGTCCCTTGAGTTCCTAATGGAACATACAGCTTCAGTAGCATGTCTCCATTCCACTCTCTTATCTTCAATCTTTTCAACCTGGCTCCACCTGTAGTTGAAACAGTTCTGCGCTGCCTAGATAGGTGAAAGAGGCTACATCCTTTTAGTTCCTCCCGTTGATGGTGATTGGACCTTGTTGTTGTTTTTGTTGGTTGGGTATCATCATTACCTCTATCTTCTCTATGTTCACCTTAAGGAAGCCCGTCTTCGCTGCCTCGCCCTGCTTCTTCTGCCAACTTGTTAGTTTTCGCCTGTAGATCATCAAGTTTGTGTGACATCAGACACAAGTCATTGACAAAATCTAAATCTTCTCGGATCCTTTTTCCCGGTCCAGCGTATCCCCCTCTTCTCACAGCTCCTCACTGTTAGTTGCATGATCCAGTAGACCACAATCAGGAATATCATGGGTGATAATAGACAGCCTTGTTTTACCCCTGTCTTCACTTCAAGTGTATCAATGAGCTTTCCATTGAGGATGACTCGGTATGTGGCATCTTCATATAGTTGCTGAATGAGAATGATAAAGGTTTGTGGCATTTCATAGTGTTGGAGCAGCTGCCTGGCAAATTACTTGTTGGTCGACGCTGTAGAAGACCTTCTCAAAGTCGATGAAGTTGAGGTGTAGAGTTGACTGCCATTCTATACTCTGTTCTATGATGATACGAAGCGTTGCAATTTGTTCCGCACATGATTTGCTCTCCCTGAATCCAGTCAGCCTGTTCCGGTTGTAGTTCTGAATCCAGATAATCCCTTGGTCTCTCCAGGACGATGCGGCTTAATATTTTGCTTGTGATGGACAGGAGCGTGATTCCCCACCAGTTCTTGCAAAGGCTTAGGTCGTCCTTCTTCAGGAGTTTGACAAGGTAACCCTTCTTCCAATCGCACCTTCTGCAATAATGGTGTGAGCATGTTAGCTGTTGTCTCTGCGTCTGTTCTCAGTGCTTCCGGCGGGATCCCATCTGGTCCTACGGCTTTCCCGCATCGAACCTGAAGGTGGCGGGTTCGATCCCTGCTGGTGGGGTCGTGGGTGCGCACTGCTGAGGAGTCCCATACTAGGACGAAACAGCTGTCCAGTGCTCCCAGGTTTCCTTTGTTCCTCCAACTGATGTCAGTCTACGATGAATAACAACTTGAAATACATTGACAGTCAACCACTTGGCTAGAATCCAATGTTCCACATTCTTCTACATCTAATAATATAGTGTAATCATTCAGTTTCGTTCAATCTCAAAACTGAATTTCTACATACTTTTAGCCTACAGTACAGCGTGATGCATCATGGCAAATTATGCCCTTTCTCTATAAGAATATTTCTAACTAGAAAAATTCTAACTTTTGACAAAACTTTCACCTCATTTTATCAATATCGACTTTTTGAATTGATTCATTGATTCTTGCTTCCTTACAGTAAAATAGTACAACTAGTATAGATTACTGATAAAACTATATATCAATGATAAATATCCAGTGAGGGAGAAAAAGGTTTAAAACGGCTGAAAATTTGATCTTCAGTAATGATGAAATATAATTAATTAGTATTAAGACTTCTGGATTTTCGCACTCTGACAACCACTGATTGTATGGATGACTTTTATGCTCTCAAATGAACATATCGTCTTCTTTATACCTTATTAAACAATAAATGGGAACGTAGTTAGTTTGCATCACAACTGATAATCATCACTCTGAGAAATAGCCCTATCCAGTGGTGTTTCTTTTAACAGGCAAGCCATAAACTACTAACCGTCTTTATGAAGATTAACCAATCGTCTATGATCATTTAACTTGTATTAGTAGGTTAAAGGTTATCAGAAGGAAACTCTACTTAACTTAGGCTTCATGCTTACTGACACCATCGACAAGGCCTATTTGAAACCTCTGAGATTGGAACCCAAATCACTTAGTTTTGCAATCAATGACGTAACCACTGAGTCTCCTACCTTGATGGCCAAATTACAAAGTGATCGGTAGAATTTGACCAGCCTTCATCAATGATACTGATTGCTATCTACTGACTGATCAATAATTCAATTATATCTTTTAGACAGTCATTAGTTATCATAAATGTTCAGTGAATGATTATAAATAAAAATCTTGATATACAAAATATGAAATATGACGGTTGTATTCTGCATGTTCATCACGAATTTATTTGTGGTTGACCAATAGAAACGTAAATATTTTCAGTGCTTCAAATGGTAGGCAACTGTTCAAGTAACATTCCTTCTTTTCATATCATGCCTAATTCCGAGGTAACTATGAAGCACTTCTATGTATAATGAGTTCCTTGAAATGCCACATATTCCGAACTTATTCACAACATATTAAGGTATGCAACATTAAGCGTGAAACTAAGATGGTAAAAGAACAAAAAATTATGTTGCAAATTATTCCAAGACCTTTTATATGAAGATTTATTTACGACTAGTAGTTTCCAAGAATAAGAAACTCTATTAACAGATGACATTTCAAGGAAGCAAATGTTTCTTGATAATCAAATAAGCAAATCAAAGTGATTTAACTTCATTTCGTGGCGTATTTAGGTTAAAAACTCATCCAATGAAGTACTCCGGAGTACAAACTCATCTAAAGCCTAAGATACATTATGCTTGAATTCTTATCAACTGGAACGGTTGGAGTAGGAACACATCTTGATCGCTTGTCATCCATCTTGGAAATTACTACATATGTGACAGTATGTCGTTTTTGTATAATTCCTGTTATCTTTGTAATTTAAAGAGTTTATAAATGACTGGTATCAAGCTGTTATATGACTTGACCAATGACCTTTTTTCAAACTTTACAGATCCTTTATTGTCTACAAAAAGTTTTTCACTCGATGTACCTCGATTTGATCAACCAAATGATTCTGTGATTACTGGTTCAGGTGGTTCAAGTCCAGGTCGTTATTCTGAAGGGATTCGTAAATCATCCATTGCAAAACATTATCATGGCTCATCTTCAAGAATGTCACCATCACCTTTTTCATCAAGAATGAATGGTAAGTTTTGAAACAGATTGCCAATGTTTCATGTTTCAATGAAAAAAAAATATTTATTTTCAAGTTGCCATTCATAAGGGACTGACATCAGGTGGAGGAACATCGGAAATCTGTGAGCACTGGACAGTTGTTTCATCCTAACAAGGAACTTCTTAGCAGTGCACACCCACAATTCAATTCATCTATGAGTTAGAAAACAGTAAAGGTTACTTGGTTATGTTGGATTGCAGAATAAAAGGGAAACAAGATGAGAGTTAAGACACTGGTGTCTACAAAAACCTTCACATTCATATCCTCACTTAGACTACATATTGTCTTATCCTATTTCAGTTAAGGTTGGCTTATTAAAGTGTGTAAGTAACAAGGCCAAAAAACTTACCAGTAAAACAGCAAATCTAGAATAAGAATCCAGATACATTGAAGACGCCTTAATCATCAACAATTACCCTCCCAAATCGATTGATAACCTCCTCAGGAATCGTAAGAAAAGCATCAGTAACAGTTATTAATAGTAGTAATAATAGTGATAATAACAGTAACAATAATGGTAATAATAGTAGTGGCAATACTAAGAACAGAGAATTTAAATCCCCTACAGTATTACTATACATAGAAGGCGCCCCAGAAACACTACGCAGAATTCTCATTATGGCTGGCTAGGATGAGAGTGACATTTAAACATACAAACTCACTTCGAAATAAGCTTTATGGGCTAAAAGATCCTATTGATCTGGTTAAGTGGAATAACTAGGTTTACCAAATCCCTTGCAATGATTGTAAGGTTAAATATATTGGTTAAAGTAGTCAATCATGGTCAATTAGGCTATCCGAACACAAAAACCTAGCTAGGTCAAAATTGTCAGATCCTAGTCAGATAAGAAATTTAGAGAAAAGCTCAACTGTGGCTTTCCATGTAATTACACAAAACAGCACATCAGGATGAGACAGGATGAAAATCCTTAAAACTACAATGACAGAGTTGAAGAAGAGATTGATAAGTGGAATCTTTGCTCATCGAATCAACACCTAATACATGTCAGAGGAATGACTCAGTACCTGTTCCGGATATATGGAAAATCTTACTACACATATCAAAAAGAGGGAAAGATAATTAAGACCATATAAAATGGATATCTCAAAGTTGTTTAGTTACCTTGATATGACTATGGACAATAAATTATATCTGAAACGAAATACAGTAAGCAAAACTCTTACACTGTGTGATAAATTTAATAAATCAATAAAAATGGAATAACATTCTACCACAGTGCACAAGTTTTACTCGTATAGTAATGACTTAAATATAGTATGAATGTGATTTAGTAGAATATTCTGAGTGTTCATGTTCTAACCTAACCTCTTGACGTCACTATGTACGTATTGGATGTGATGAATTAAGGGTCTACATTATGTTGATTAGCTTGTTAGGTAACTAGTCTGTTAATCATTTTAACAATTTCTTAACTTTATATTACCATTCTATAACTAAATGTCATTCTATTTGTTATATTTATCTGAAATAAAATTGATTACAGATTGAAAATATTAACAATCAGGAAACACGTTAACAATCTTCTCCAGTATGTTTCACTTTGTTGACAAAACATTGTAATCCTAAGCTAATCATTAGTAAATAAAGATGCATGTTTATATAAATTAAGCGCATTTTCAAATGAATCAAAACTGCTTTCATTAACCTAATCTATCATTTCATAAGGAATGAAATACATTAACTTCCAAAGGTAAAATATTCCATTAGATCATTATTAAGAATTACGACGTTCAGTGTAGTTTTAATTTCAAACAAACATAACACACTGATTCAGTATTTCTAATCTTAAGATATACCACATCACATTTACGGTTGACAGGATTGATTTTGTTTTGCTTTCTGTCATGACGTCATGACGTTTGAAATACAAACGTGTCATTAGGTAGTAGTTGTAGAGTACTTCTACCGTATGTTATGTAATCTACATTTTAAGTGTAACGTGATACAGAGAAGGAAGACATTGAATTTAACTGAACATACCGAGTTTTAAAGACAAGTTAACCAACACTTTTTTACAAGCTTTCTAAAGACCAGGTCATATCGGCTTTTAACTCTGGAGGTTATACTTTATTAATATTTTTCCATTGGGTTCCCAGCGGAACATACCCTTTTCAGTAGCACGCCTCCATTCCACTCTCTTCTCTGCAGTATTCTCAACCTGGCTACACCACTCACCACAAAATTTCATCTCTTCCTCACATGATCTCCACAATGTATCCCTCAACTCGGACGCCAATCTCGTCATTTCCCATTTGGATTACACCAGATCGACTGGCCTGTCGCATGATGTCCCCAATCAGCCTCCTCACTCCATGCCCATTCCAATCCATCTACACTTCCTTCTTCTGCATATTTGTAGTGTGACACCTTCCTGGTTGGTTCGTTGCCAGTCAGTCAGAGTTCCTTGGTGCTTATTATTATTATTATTATTATTATTATTATTCTCGCCATCCATCTGATATTCAGTATCGAGTGAGTGTAGGCGGCAGCTGTTGATGAATGTCCACAGTTTGTTGCAAGTGCTTTTCATGACAAGCCAAGTTTCTGAACCATCACATACAAGCACTGACTTACTTGACTTAATTAGTGTTGAGAACTTGGATCTTGTTCGCACCTTGTGATGAGTTCAATGCAGTGCATTGCAGTAGATCTCCACACTGATTTCAGATTAATCATATCCTGTCTTGCTGTCTTTCCGATCGTGGCTGCTTTGACATCCTCATGTGTACCGCCGCCACCTGTAGTTGAAGGGATGCTGCCTGCCACCTAGGTAGGTGGAAGAGAATACTTGCTTTAAGTTTCTGCTGATAATGGTGATTGGTGCTTGTTGTTGTTGTTGTTGGTTGGGTATCTTCATTACCTCTGTCCTCTCTGCATTCACTTGACGTCCGGTTCTCGCTGCCCCTTCTATCAACTTGTTGGTGCGACATTAGACAAATTCATCGGCGAAATCCAAATCTTCTGTGGTCTCTTTATCGACTCATCTTATTCCCATCTTCTCGCTCCTTTAAGTTTGCTGCATAATCCACTCCAATTGATCAGAATCACAAGGACCATGTTTGATAGTAGGTAGCCTTGTCTTACTCCTGTCTTAACTTTAAAGTTGTCACTGAGGTTAGTAGGGATTTATTAATTTCCAGTTGGTACTTATCACAAATCTACTTCAACTGGAGAACCATTTAAAACCTGGGAGTAGTAAAAAACTGTTTTATCCTAGTATAGGACACTTCTACAAGGTGTATTAGTACACAGCACCTTCACGCTTTAAGATGAGTACGTTATCGTTGAGAGCTACTGAGTCGAAGTTGATTGTTTCATATTTTCTCACTTTTACCAATTCAAGAAATGCGCATCTCCCGTCCAACTGCTACACTGAGTATTTTTTTTCTCATATCTGAGTTGGATCTCTTCATCAGTCTCAATGGAATATTGGGAAAATTTATCTCGAAGCTTGTCATTAATTAGACATTATAACAAAGTACATCAATTATAAAATGAAGCTTAAAAGAAGTCTATAGAAATCAAAACCGAAATTCTGACCAATCCTTACAAAACTTTTGATAACAGAAGTCTTTTCACACTTCTTTTAAGTGTAGAGAATCATTTTTTGTAATTAAAAGTAACTGCTGTGCTATGAAACATAAAAACTTCGACTAATAGATCACACGAAAATTTTCATACAACTGTCTGATATTTATCAGCTGCTGATAAATTAGACAATTTCAGGTTAACTAATCTCATCGAATGACGTCAGCTTGAAAGCTGAATCTCCAATATAAGTCTTTGATTGCTGAATAGTCGCTCGTTATTCTATTAGGGTCAACATAATTAGTAGAGATGATAGTATCTGTTAAGATCCCGACATCAAATACTACTAGGTGAAACTATGAGGACATTGAATAGGAAACTGAATAAGGTAGAGAATGCCTACAGCAATTGATGAGGACTTTTTTTTCCTGCAGAAAAATGAAATGTGAATGACGCTACAAATAACAACCAATTTTTCTGCATTCTAGCAAGGATCCAAGTATCTCACTTGCATACACTTTTCAATTCATTGATTTCGATGAATGTCAGGAGTGCACACATGTAAGAATGGTATGGAAATATTATTTGCCAGAGTTTTGTTCACCTGACTGACAAAAGCCAATCTGATTTTGTACCTGAATACACTTCATCGTACGAATGTTTTACTTACACGTGTGTGTATTACATATCAGTTGGATAATCGTAATGAAGAGGGTATTACAAGAAAGGGGATAAATAGCGCAGAGCTAAAAGAAGAAATTTTGCCAAACTCTATCCCTTTAACAAAATCTAATTAAAATAATAATAATAATATTATTATTATCGTTTTTCTCTTGGGTTCCTAGTGGAACATATGGCTTCAGTAGCACGTCTCCACTGCACCTTCTTCTCTACAATCTTTTCAGCTTGGCTCCACGACTGCCGACAAGCTTTCATTTCTACATCACATGATCTCCTCCATATCACCCTTGCCTCGGACGCCCAACTCATCGTTTCCCATCTGGGTTCCACTCGACACACTGGCCTTGTGCGTGATGTCCCCAATCGGCCTTCTGAGTGTTGAATGTGGCTGATAAAAGTGTTTGTGGTATTCCGTAGTGTTGAAACAGCTGCCAAACTACTTGTCGCTTGATGCTGTCGAAGGCCTTCTCAAAGTCGATGAAGTTGAGGTAGAGGATTGACTGCCATTCTATACTCTCTTCTATGATGATACGAAGCGTTGCAATTTGTTCCGCACATGATTTGCTCTCCCTGAATCCAGTCAGCCTGTTCCGGTTGTAGTTTTGAATCTAGCTCATTATTTAGTCTCTCCAGGACGATGCGGCTTAATATTTTGCTTGTGATGGACAGGAGCGTGATTCCCCACCAGTTCTTGCAAACACTTAGGCCTTCCTTCTTTGGGTGTGTGACAAGGTAGCCT